AAATTCCTTTTATCTTTTATTTTTATTCAATTTCAAAGATGTATATTATAGTTTTAGGGTTTATCTCTAGAGTTTTTAAGTTGTTTAAAGATTCTAGGGTTTCTATTTTTATTCATTATTCACAGGTACTATTCATGGTACTGTTCACAGTATTGTTCACGAATTACTGTTCGTTTGTTATTATTCACGTGTTACTGTTCATAAGGGTATTTTTGTAATTATAGTATTGTTTTAGGGGTATTTTAGAGTCTTAAATGTTTACTTGGTCTCAAGTTAAATTAGGGTTTCATAGGCTTATAAAAAGTTGGATGTCACATTTTGAGAGACATGTTATTGGAATAAAGTTTATTTTAGAAACGAAGAAAGTTCTTCTCTTGGCATGATTTACAGCCATATTCTTTCTCTATTATAGCTGATTTTACTTGTTTAAGGTTCAGAAAAAGCGTGGATTCAATTTCCAACCTTTCCTTCCTATATCACTTAGTCATATAGCCTACTCAATCCTCTTACAGTTCTTTTCTGCTTCAGTGGCCCATTTTAAATAATCTTCTCCAACACGATCCTTAGATGGTCCATATGCTGCCCTTCACTAGTGTTGGTTATTATCAAACTTTGCTATATATGCCTTAAAGACTTGGTTCATGAACCTCATAAAGGTGCTAGGTGCATCTGATAGCCCAAATGGAATAACCAGCCAGTCATACAATTCCTCTCACATCTTAAACACTATCTTCCATTCATCACCTAGCCTGATTCTGATTTGATGGTAACCACTTCTCAAGTCTATTTTAGAGAAAATTGTAGCCGCCACCAACATGTCTAACATATCATCCAAGAGTGGTATCGGAAAGCGGTATTTTATGGTAATTTTATTAATCGCCCTATTGTCCACCCCCAGAAATCATCTTTCTTGGGCCTCAACAATGCTCGAACCACGCACAGGCTCATACTTTACTTGATAAACCCCTTCTATAGAAAATCTGAAACTTGCCTCTATAACACTTCATGCTCCTTAGCGTCATTCCATAGTCCCCTTTGGGAGGATGGAACCAGGGATGAGGCTGATGTGATGTTAGATGTCTTGTATAGGTGGTAATCCCTCAGGAAGATCATCCCATACAACATCATTGAACTCCTTGATCAATGGCTCAAGGTTAGGAGGAATCCAACTAATAGGCTTTTTTCTTCAATGCGCATTACATCACTTAACACATCTGACTCACCCAACTCCCTTATGAACTCCAGCAACGATAAGAGATTAGTGCTGCCCTCTTCTAATTTTGAAGCACTTCCCATATTAGAGGGTCCCAAAATCATTTGAACTCCATCCTTGACAAAGGAGTAAGTGTTTCTAAAACTATCATGAGTGGTACGCCTGTCATGCTGCCATGGTCTTCCCAATAACAAGTGGCATGCATCCATAGGCAATACATCTCCCCATATTTCATCTTTGTATTTTTTCTAATAAAAAAAGAAACAAAACATCGTTTAGAAATAGTTATCTAAGCGTCCTTCTTAAAACACACAATTTTATAAGGCCTTGGATGGTTTCAGTCTTGAGCTTGAGCTTGTCAATCACCTGAGAAACTACATTTTCGCAACTCCCTCCATCGATGATTAGTTCTTTCCCATGAGCAGTACAGTGCATATGAAATATGTTTGTGTGCAATCAATTATTTTCCTCGACAACCTTAGGCATAATCATGCTGCGATGGATCACCGATTCCTCCCCATGATCACTATAGGTCACTTTTGGGTCCTCTTCATGAACTGGCTGATCATAGATGCGATCACCTTCAAAAAAGTGCTGGCTATCCTCATCATAAGACCCCTCAAACAGCTTAACAAACTTGCAATTTGGGCAGTGATAAGACATGCCCAATGCCCCAGCACTTGTAGCGCTTGATGTTGCTACACGACACTCCTTTTAGGTCACTTGACTCCCGAAACAACCGCTTTTTGGCCCAGGCCACCTTGGCAGTTGATCTTCCAGCAATGCGAGATGTTGAGCCAGCACCCATCATGCTGCTTTTTCTTCCAAAATCAGCAACACAGGCTGCTGCCCTATTTCTCCCATCACTCGCACCCACGCCCCACCTGTTCGAGGGCCATTTCTGCTGAGTTTCAACCCTCTTTGCAAGGTTATAGGACTAATCAAAAGTCCAATACTGCTGCAAAACTAATACATCTTGCATAGATTAGTGCAGTGCATTCACATACTTGGCAATGGACTGCTCCTTCTGCTCGATCACATCACTATGGGCACTCGAAAGGTGAAACTCATTGGTACATTCATCCAAGTACCTATCTCCTTGGAACAACACATGCATCTTTCGATATGAAGACTAAACAATTATCCACCCAAAAAGACTCTGAATAATTCTCAAGGAGATATTTCTCCTTCAACTTTTTCCTCATCCTCCATGGTGACACAATTTTAGGTTTTCTTGTTCTTTCTCGCCTTGCTCTCAATTGTTCCCACCATACCAAAGCACTTTTCTTCAATTTAATGGCAATAATTTTAAACTTTTTATTCTAGCACATTCTTGCAATCACCCTCTCCACTGGTTTAACCAGTCTATAAAGTCGTCAGGCTACGGCTTTCCTTCAAAATCCAGAATATCTACTTTTAGATCTATGGATTTTGAAAGTCCAGCCTATACTCACTCAATTGATCTCGCGGAGCACGATCGTGAAAAGGGTTACACTCAACAATGTCTTGGGCAGACAAAACTTCATCTCGAGCACGAGCAATGCCTACAAACCACCATGTAAGTTCTTAACATGTCGACTTAAATCATCTATCTCCTAATCTGGCTCTTCTTGTTACCATAGGTTCATAGAAATCACAAAGCCTAGGCAGGAAACCAACAGAACCTAGCTGAAATCAGCAAGTTCTAGGTTGATTGGGTAAAACCTAGCCTAAAATCAGTAAACCCTAGACTTGGGTATTGATTCCCAGCCTTGTCTTTGAAGAGAACCTAGGCTCTGATATAAATTGAGCAGGAAACTAGTGAAAAGAGACAAAAATAGTTCAATAAACCATCAAAACAGGCCAAATTTAAGTGTTCGCTTTCCTTGCACAAAAACGAGACCCCAAAATTCTAGATAGGGCCTGATGTTACTAATAGTAAATTCAAACCCAGTTTTTATTGTTCGCGCCTCAAAGGTGTTAGAAACCCTAATACCCCAAGCCCTTTTATTACATTATAATTAAAAAAACAAGCTACCCCAACTTAAGTTGAAACATTATAAAATATCCTATAAGTCCCTTCACTCGAATTAAAACATAGAAGGTCCCTAAACTGCCCCTAACTTTACGTAAAATACCGAGGAAGTCACTAAGAGACTTTAAATACAGCAACAAACTAAAATTAAACTCCTACAAAAAGTCAACCTTCCTCCTCTTGGATCTCCTTGTGACCTTCGGATGTGGAATATCATAGAGGAGATCATCAAAGGATGGATTGATTGGGTCAAAAGGTCCATGAGAATTGTCATGACTAGCCGAACGACTGTTTGGTGCATTTGATAGGAGGAAGCCAAGCAATCCATTAAAATTTCTGTGGGATGGAAAAAATGGGCTTCCAACCACAAAAAAGATAGAAGAGAAACTCATCATCTATCTTTTTATTCATACCGCTATATTTCTATCTTAAGCAAGAAAAGATTGTCCCTTCGAATAAAGATGATGAAATTCCCAAGACACGATAAACAAGTTCTCAAGAGGAAGTTCATTAGTTGTTGATGACAAAACTTCTTCATTAGGCGGTTAGGATCGAGCTCCCAAAAGGAGAGCAGCAGAATCCTTGAAGGTTCAATTTTCCAAAATGCAAGAACACTGTTTTGGAGTAGGAATGCTACCTTAAAATGTTTGGCTGTAATTGTTATGTTGATTTGCTTTTCAACTCCAAGCATGATCCTACATATTTCTTGATGACATTTCCAGAAAAGGGACACAAATTCCTGAAAAGTGTTGTTTCCAACGATGTATTCTTGCTTAGATCAATCAACACTCAATTGAGGCCGCTAGACTAGTTTTAAGCAGAGGTGGAATTCAAGTCAAGAATTACATCTAGAAGCTTTAAAACCTTCTTATCTTTAGAGGAATGTCAAGTCGCTCCTACAGGAAACAAACAACTACCTTGTGTTGCTCAAAAGTTCGCATCTTCCTGTCCTTTAGAGGAACCACAGATTTAGAAGTGCTTGTCGAAGAACAACCTGATCAAGCTGATGCAATAATTGAAATAACCAACAGTTTTGGTATGCATTCTGGATTTAGTGAAGTTATTCACCTAGCTCATCTCCGACAATTTACTGCAATTGTCTCACAAAGATTTTATATTCTATAAAGAATCTAACAAGTGTGTGCGTGCGCACAAACTCACACATACACCTCCCTGATAAAGCCTACCAGTGACCAGGGGCAGTCCTATGATCCCTCTAGAACTGCCGCTGAAATTGACTTTAGACATCCAGTCTAGTCATTAGTCAAGCCCTAGTTCCACTATTCACATTTACATTCAGGGCAACCAGCTCCCTTTCGTGGATCAAGTCTTTCACTCTATATCATACATATCTGTAACTCTAAGAAACACATAATCATAATCATGGGATGAAAGGATAAAGGTGAATGTGGAACAAGAAGAACTCTGGATCCATTTTGAAATGACACATCTAAACAGCTTAGAGATAGGCATATCTAATTAAAGAATCTCTAAAATCTTCTGCAGCATCAAGAGTGTTTTTTCAGGATATAAGGAATTTCACAATTTCAAACTTCCAAAATCAAATTAATTTACGAAAGCATTTTCCATTTGGGTATAATAATCTTATTTGTTTTGAATAGGGAGAGGTTTAGCCTTCATCATGGCAATGTTCCCTGACACTTGGGTTTCAAAACAACAGCAAATAAATATCAACTTTCACCAACAACAAAGTATACGTGTGTGTGTGTGTGTGTTAGTCGCTCAAAAATATGGAGAAGAAGGAAGACTTACCTGCTAGAAGCAGATGTTGGATGAGATAAGCTAATCATGTGCTGAGCAAGGGAAACCATTGCAAGTGATCTCATTGCGCAGAACTCTGGGGATGACTTCCAAAGCTGAAAACAAAAATATTGCAATGAAGTAAATGGCAAAGAAGGCCACTAGAAGGGAAAGGAAAGTGTTATAATCAATAAACAGATCTTCAATACCTGAAGAGAAGAATGTGAACCTGGAAATATCAAAGTCATGGCACCTTGATCCCCATTAAGGCCACTAGTAACTGAAAACTGCTCCGGCTTGCACAAATCCATTTCATCCACCAGCAATTTATCTAGATCATCATCTATACCCCATAAATGTAGAAGAGACAGGCTGAAACGAAGTAAGCAACCATCTGATGTCTTGACCCATAAACGTGCATCCATAGGATCCAGTGAAATCTTTTGTACATTAGAATAACTTTCAGTAGGGGTTCTTATTTCAACACAAAGCTTCTGTTGATTGAGAGACATCAAACTTGAGAGGTCAAAGATCAGAGTTGCAATACCAGGGAAAGGGCATGAGCACTTAATTGGGGGCTTCTTGTTTTGAAGAGCTGGTAGTGATGGGCCTTGTTTTGCAGAATGACCACCTTCCCTTTGACCAGGATCATTTAGTACTGCTTTCGAATATGGTATCGCCCCTTTGCTACTGTGTGCAAGATATGGCTTTGGATCAGAAAAGAGGGTCGTTCTTTGCTGAGGATTAGCTCCTGTTGCAGATTCGTTAACCTCCCTCTCAATCTTAACAGTATGTTTTTGGGTAAGGCTCGTAACTTCCAATCCATGGGGAAGCAATGAAGAAGCTGAAGTCATACCACCTAGAATATTTCCAGACATAGCATTTATACTGATTCCCCGACAAAAATGGTCAAACATAGAATGCGACGCCGCACCTCGAAGAACACGTTCTTGAGCACCTGTCTTTACATCCCAAATGATCAAAACATCAACTTCGCCATAGTGAGCTGAGACCTTCCTACATAGGGCAGCAATATAGCCTCTTGCACTGTCCCATACAACCATCTCTGGATAAGTTGGATGGCCAGGAAACATTCTCTCCACTCGTAAAGTCTCAAATGAAGCAAGAGACACACAACAATCCTCCCCGACAGAGACAAAACAATCATTCCATGGTCGATTAGTCCATGGTGGTGGAAGGATTATTTGCCTAACAGGAGCAACATGATGGTGCAATTTATTGACAAGATTACCGCTATCTAAATTCCATATACAAATTGTGCAGTCTGCACTGCCTGATACCAGAAGTCGGTTATAATTTTGTTGCTCCGAGTTTGATAACATACAATGTGCTGCCAAACAAAGAACTGCACCATCATGCCCCAAAAATATGTGTCTGGGCTCATTCAGCTTGGTCTTATGTTGCATATCTCCGGCAACGACATCAACTTCCTGAAAAAACATGTCGAGCCTGATAATTTCTATTTCGCCATTATGGAAGCCATACACCACAGCACATGGGGCGAAGGAAACTTCACAAAGTATCATTGAGGTCGTAACAATCTTCTTTTTCCCTGAAATTGAACCATCTATTAATTTAGAGCAACCATTCGAACTCATTGGATGCAGAGAGAAACTTTGCACATTACAACTCTTCTCCATTTCAGCATTCTCCAGTCCGAGGGATGCCCTGGAATGTAAAGATAATTTTTTAGCAATGTGGCCCTTCATTTTTTGCAAACTGTCACAATTAGAAATCTTGTCATCAAGGAAACCACCTTCTCCAATCAGGATGCCCATGCAAGGATCAGAAGAACTCCAACGTGCTGCAGATAGTGATCCACCGAACTCCTGCATCGCAGGAAGCTGGCTTATTAACCAGACTGTAATTTGAGATCTCCATATCAAGGAACATTCAACATCAAAACCAAAGGATTCTGTACGAATAAGGCATTGGTTTGACTCGCAAAAACTAACTTGCAGCTTAGCATTATGTTCATTAGAAACAACAGGGATTTCACAACATAACTTAAAATCGAATGCATCACCTGAAAGAGATATCATGTAGATCAATGCATCACCTTGATTACTCCACACCAAAAAGAGACTCAAGTGCCCTTCAGTTGAATCCATCACTTCTGATGCATTGACATCTTGAATATCACTTTCAAGAAACAAGCCTCCCACAAGGTATGACTCCCTATGAACATTTCCTGTGCAAAGGGAGCTGTTCTCTAGAGATAATTCCCCTCTGATCTTTTTATCTTCCATTGATGTGAATATGCAGTGATCTCTGCAGATGAATACCAAGAACTTTCCATGAGGTTTAACAGCTATTCCCTGTATTCCAACATGCACAACATTGGGCAAAATCAATGTCTCCACATCAACAGTACTACACATATTCTCAGTTTCAGGACCATGTTCCTTTGATATTGCAACAGATAACACCCTTCCTAGTGAATCTGCCATAATGACTGAATGGTCTTCTTCTGCAGATGCTACCACAGTAATAGATTTCACTGGCCCGATAGATAAGTTCCCATGAAATATGGTGCGCAATATATTTAGGGTGCATGCATCAACAATGACTATAGCACCCTTTGAAGACCTCCTAGAGTGCGATGATTCCTTTTCAGCAAGCAACTCACTTTCAATTTGACTACTATTTCGACCTTCTCGACCCTCAGTTACATTCTGACTAGATAAATGAACAGATTCAGCAGAAATGCAAGCAATACAGACATGCCTCTTGGATGTAGGCAAAGATGAGATAGCAAACGGACTCCCAACCCATGAAGGCAATTTCCTCCTTCGTCTACAATATCCATTCCCGCTATTCCAGACACATAAAACACCATCAACACAAGCACTTATTAGTGGTTCAGAGCCAGAAGATGTTGATACAATGTTACTTGAATGATCCGTCTCCTCATGCTCTGCTACAGGGCCACATATATCCAGACCTGATATAGGTGCAGCATGACCACATAGCATTGCCATAGGCCAAACTTCCTGTAAAGGTCATAGGCAAATCATAGTCATGGAAGGATCTTGCAACATATCTCATCTACAACTTTTCCTCATTATACAAACTAAAATAAAAATCCATATTAATGAAACCACTTAACAAATTAAGGCAGCTTCCATCAAATCATTTCTCAAACTAAACAGTGACCATGAAAATAAATATGGTATCGGAACCTAAGAACCAAAGGTAGATAAACCACTGGAATCATGTGTTGTCTGGAAGCATCAATTATACCAATCACACGTTATTTTAGATTACATAATAACTGGTTAATTAACTCCATGATAGGGGCAAACAATAGCATGACATCACATGTAGATTTCCGATGGGAGCAAGTATTTAGAGTTTACATAAATAAGTCTGAACCATATTTTAGATCCATTGTGGTATCTTGTAAAACCTTTTGTAAGCTTTATGGGCCCAAGATTCTTGACACAATCTAATGAAGATCAGGTCTTTTGAAGAACCACATGAGGTCCTCGATTTAAATAAATCCTCCATGTAGAATCTATAAAGCTGAGAGCTCTATTATGTCAATCCTTAGAAACTCTAAAAGTATGTTAGTTTTCATAAACCAGATTAATATTACAGATTTCTCTCTTCTCATTTTTCTTAGTGGTCCCTGATAACTTCCAAAAGTTTCAAAAGACATGACGAGAGTTTCAAGCAACAACCTCAAATGACACAATCTGAATATGAATGTTAAGTGTACATCTCAAAGTCTCAAGCTACTTGAGTGTCACACGTAACAAAAGTGATGTACACTTACAACCATCAACAAAAAACAAATAGACAAACAACCAAAAAATACACATGTTCTCATACAACTTGGTGGATCATGACTCGCCATATATTAAACCACAAGAAATCACCTATCAAAATATATATATATATATCATGAGTCTTAGGAACTATACATATATATTTTTTGCCTAAGCTAACCTGTTTGCAGTGGCTTGTCCCCTTTGTAGTACTATTATAAATAAATGTACAACAGTTATGAGAACCAAGTCCATACATGGTACAAAAAGGGGTATGCAACTGGAAGTCTAGTTGCCTCTCTCTCTCCCTCAAAAAGGTGGATGCAACTAGAAGTCCCTTTCCTCCCTCCTTCCATCCCTCTCTCACCCACCAAAAATAAAATACATCAAGAATCATAGAAACCATGCATATATTTTTTTTGACTAAGCTAGCCTGGGTTATAGAGTGGCTCATCCCTTTGTAGTACTATTATAAACGAATGTACAATGGTTATGAGGACCACGCCCATGTTACAAAAAGCGATATGCAACTAAAAGTCTAGTTTCCTCTCTGTATCTCTTTCAAAAAGGTGGATGCAACTAGAAGTCCCTCCCCCCTCCCTCTCTCATAAAGAAGGGGCTGTGGTGACCTTTTTATTGCACATTTTGTCTCACTCTTTAACACTCCTAATCTCACTCCCCATAACTAGTAGTGGCTTTCCCCATTGCTATTAGTTGGTGACTTGGTTCTTTCTCTCATTTCTTGTTGAAGATGATTTTTCCTTCTAGCATGCAATTTCTAATCTTCCATGGTGTGTCTCAGATCACCTTACAGATACTAGAAGATGTTCCATTGTGAGCGCGTTGAATCCTTTCTTGCCAAATTTCACAATTGGGACAGATGCTTTCCAAAGCTTGAGTACAGTTTTATTTTCGTACTTCCTCTTAAACCAATATATCATAAGCCTTAGAAGGTTGGTATGGGTGATGGGTTGAGTGTCGAATTGTCATATGGTTGCCTTCCAAATCTCACTTGTGAAGATGCATGTTATGAAACACATGTTTGTGATCCTCCATATCCCCTTCACATAGAAAGTGAAGATTTACAGGAATGTAGCCCCCATCTTTAACTTCGATCAGTTATGAAGAGTCTTATTTGGAAGGCTACCCAAGAAAATCGTGAAGCCTAAGGATGTGTTGGCCTCTTTATCAAGGGTTTCACTTTGCGAGCCATGCTCCCTAATCGCTTCATATACATTTTTTGGGTGATCTCTCCATAGTTGTTTGTTACCCAAGAAAGAGTATCCTCTTTTCCACATCTATTAGAGCATTCCACCAAATATGAGGTAACATGCTTCCATTAGCATCATACTTCTTGGATGGGGAAGCTGCCATATATTCCCATCAAAGATATTGGAATTTTTTTGTTGACTGTCCCATACTCAAGTACCTTATGATTTCTTCTCCAAAGATATCATGTAGAGACCTTCATTTAGCCAAGCATCATATGAAAAATTATGTTGTGGTTCCACTCCCAATTTTCCTTTAACTATTTGATTAACGTTATCTTCTTTTTTTAAACTATTAACTCTTTATTGGAATGAACGTGAATTTAAAATGGTGAGGCCCCCCAAATGGGGCTGGAAATAAAACAGACAAGGATGGGTAACTCCACAGGGGACCTAGGAAGAAAGCTGTAATATCTAAACTTCGTAAAGGAGACAGGCAGATCCTTCCTGATACACTCCTAATCTTCCACTGTGGTGTTGTTAGAGGCACCTACTTTGGCAAGGGTATTCGCCACAGAATTACTCTTGCGCCAAACATGGCTCCAAGAGATCGAAATACCCGAACAAAGATGGGTGGTCTCTTCAAAAGTGAGCACCCCAAGGATAGGGTGCTGCCGAAGAGGCCCAGCAGATGACATTGTTAGAATCTTCTTCGACGATGAGGGGGCAGGTCCAATGCACGACGAAAACTTGCAAACCTTCAAGAAGGGCACGGGCTTCCGCTGCTTGGGCATCAGCATGACCAATCAATTTGGAAAATGATGCAAGAATATGGCCCTCATTGTTCCGGAAGAGACTACCAATGCCTGCCTGGACGGGGTTCCCCATGGAACCCCCCAAAATTGAGCTTGATGGTTCCCAAAATTGGGGGGCGGGGGAACCAATGGGAGGACCGAAAGACCCCTCGTAGAGAAAGGTGGAGGAGAGGTTGCCAATTGAGCTTAAAAGCTGACCTCAACACACCTTTACAGGCCATGTGCTCGGATGCCCAGAAGGAGAGAAGGGACTTGATCCGATCGAACAACAAACTTTAGGATTAATGTTATCATGTTCATCTTACCAAGCCCAAGAGATGATCCCTCAATTTTGAATTCCAAATAAGGCTTCTCCAAGAGTATTTCCTTTTTATAAGTTCACGCAATGAGGAAGGGACTTTATTTGCCAATTCCGAAGGACCTATACATATAGATGAACACCTACAGACACACAGAGAAGATATAGAGAACCCAACATGACATTTATTCTAAATAAGTGAGAAAATAGCACATAAACAAACTGAAAAACATAGTTCAAAGTGAATTAAATGACACTGAGAAGAACTTGCAGATGCAAAGGTAAAATGGGAGTGACAACAACCCCTTTCATCAATTTATTGATTGTCAACGGAATGATATGATATGAAGCAAGCAGATCAAATTTTTCTCAAGGAGAATCTTTGTGCATTAAACCTGTCACTGTACTTAACATCAGGACACAGTGAACCTTATCCTCTATTTGTTCGCTTTATAAAGGATCTCAGCAACTGATCAGGGGAGGCCACTGCACGAGTTATTCTACGTCAGTTAGCACCTCAGTCCTCTTCTAATTAGTTTGTATAACACTCCAATCATTGTATTTTCACAAATTTAAATTAAACACCCAACTTCAAATACCATTTTTTGCCTTTTCAAATAAGCCTTACTCTCAATTCAAATTTCTCTGGTTGTTCTTTAGACTGCGATGCTTGTAAAATTGCAAAATTCTTGATACGAGATACGCTTTCTTTACACGCATTGGATGTGTTCCATTCCATCAGTGTCATCGCAATTTGTGACAATAGAGTAAGTGTCCACTTTAGGTGGAGAGAGGACCAAGGGCTAGATAAATATAGAAGTAAGGATGGGAGAGCAGTTGTTAAATTTCATACACACTCAGTAGAATAAGCTAAAATCACGTTGCATCGATCAGAAATCAGAAATGGAATGCAAATTTAACCAGAAAACCAGGATTTTTTTATCATGACTAGCATCAAACCATTGATAAAAGCACAATTCGCTGATAAAATATCACGGAAAACTTCATGAAATGGAAAATAGGAGCAACATACAGCTTTGTGCAGTTGATTTGTAGGAGGAGGAGACGGCGGAAGAGAGAAGTTCCAGCAAATGATGGATCCATCAGATCCGCCAGTGAAGAGTTGTTGATGATGGTTAAGAAGGGCCGTTGCAGTGATTTTGTGGAGAGGAGGGGATGGAGACCATAAACACTGCACTGATTCGCACCTCATTCTCTCACAATAATCACCAGCAACAGCACAATCATCTCCCTCTCGCACACGGTCGATCACCCCTGTCTCTCTCGGTGACTTTCAGGCCAGGGGCTTCGAGAAATCTGAAGTGCAAGTTTGGGTTTTTGGATACGCATGTTACCGCTAGAGCACACTGCACATATGTTCACGGGCAAAGAGCCCGAAATTTGGGATCCGCATGAGATTGTATAATACGAGACCATCATATTACGTATAAAGAGGTCAGAATTACTTTTGACCTTAACAGTGAGATTAATATTTAAACGGAGAAAAAGTTTATATAAATTTAAGGATGGACATCAAAAATCCATCAGAAAAAGTTGTTTTAATGTTGAAAAACGTTCTAATTGATCATCTCAACATCGAGATGTATGAATATAGAAAAAAAAAAAAAAAGTTTTAGTCCCTAAAGTAATGCATCTTGCAACACATTATTTAGACCTTTCATTTTCAATATTTTCATATATTTATAGATCTACTTGATTTTAACCATTTTTAGAGTTTAAAACTTTACAATTAGATATGAAATTAGATTTTCAGATAATCCGAAGAGTTTTTTTACACCAAAATTACATGTTAAGATAAATTTTGAAAGTGGCTGTTACCAATTTTAGAGTTTAAAACTTTACAATTAGATATGAAATTAGATTTTCAGATAATCCAAAGAGTTTTTTTACACCAAAATTACATGTTAAGATAAAATTTGAAGGTGCGTATTAATTGGATCGTTTAAAGTTGCAACTTTATAGAAACCACACCCTTTAAACAATTTTATTTGAGTCTTTCTACCCAAACAATGATCCATCTTCAAGTACCCAATTTCAAATCCAACGGTCAATGATAATTGTGACTTCTTTATATCGAAAGTATCATTTTATCCATTCCTTATTGTTATTATTATTATGGAAATCGCTTCTAAAAGTTTGATCTTACGAACAAATCCCTTTTTATTGAATTTTTTTACTTTTTTTCGCATATGCCCTAACTTTGGACTTAGTTTGTGTGAAGTTTAATTTTCCACATAATCTGACTTCGGACCTGGAAGGCCGAAGTTATTCCAAATATAAATTTCAGTCTTTCCAGATCCCAAATTGTATTTGAAACAAAAATAAACAAAAAGCCCTAAACATCAACTTGGACTTTCAAGGTTGAAAGTTGATGTTTGCAACAAAAACGTCCAATAAAAGATCCGTTTGAAGTTGCTGTTTGTGAATAAAAACCCACGTCAGACCTTGAAGCATCACTTCAAACAATTTATGAGCAAAACAAGATTAAACTTCCTATCTTTAATGTATGAAGTAGGAGTCGATTGAAAAATAAATAAAAAGTAAAAAATAAAAAATAAGTATGAATATAAAATCAAACTTTTTCAGGGGATTTTTTTAAAAGGCTAGTGTAAATTTCTCTCATAAGTATGTCAAAGTCTATTTTCAAGAGAGTCAATCATGGGAAGTCATAAAATACAAGAACATGGGAGGTAGTTTTTGCAGAGTCAAAATACAAAGCTCTTCAGTCTTTGATGGCCCGGTTTGGATAACTCAAAAAACCGACCTAGAATCCATAATATTTTAACTCTAGCAGAGGATTAAACTAAACTGAGTAAAAAAATTAGTATGTGGTTTCTAAAATTTTAGACCAAAAAACATTGTCGTTTTGAGAGAGGGAGTAACAATATACTCCTGCAGGAGCATAGTATACATTCTCGACTTAGAAAAGCTGTGAAGCCCCTCTCTCTCTCTCTAGCACCTACCCCTATTCTCTCTCTGTAACCCCATTTATCTCTCACTGTTCTTGTTGTCTCTCTCTATGCATCTCTTGACCAGCCTCTCTCAGTTGTTGGTCTCAATCTTCAAGCCCTAACCCTCACTTGTCCACCAGCTCTCATATCGTTTTGTCCTCTCTTCAAGCCCTTGAAGAAATTTCAGGTATGTTCTTCGTTGTTATTAGTCTTCATTGTTCTTAATTGCTTTAGATTTCAATCTTAGGGCTCTGATAATTTTCCATGGTATCAGAAAATTTCCTCTTAGTGTTCTGATAAATATCAGAAAGTCGTTCTTCATAGATGCAGTGTATGAAAAAATTGTCTCCTAGCCTTTTTGCTATGGCGTTTATTTATATCGTATTTTAAGTAGTTATTTTCTTTTAATGGTTTTGGATAAATTTGTCTCCACAGTAAAATGATTAGAAGGATAAGACAAGCCTATTTTTTGGGAGGGCCATTGCACAGAGGCCCATCGAGAATTGAATCTGTCGAGAATCAGAAAGTTGAATTCCCCATCATTTCCGTTTATCAAGGAGGTTGGGGAGAAGGTTTTTACCATGTGAAAACATAGAGCTCTCTTAACATACTTCTCTCTCTAGAAGTCTAAGAAGTTCATGAAAATCCAGGTTCCCACACTCATCAGTCCAACGACATTCTCTCTCAGATCTACCTGTTCGATGCTTACCTAGGGCCCGCAATTTTTTTTGGCTTTCGCTCTGGACATTACTTGTTTAGGCACACAGAGTGTTTATGAATTTCTTTTCTTTTTTCGGGCACGTAGGACTTTTTTTTTTGTGGCTTTCTCTTAGGACCTTATTTTTATAGGCACTAAGTGCGTTTAAAGCAGTAATGAAAGAACAGCTAGTGGATAAACTGTTTTTCAATCCCTTTAAATAGTTCCATTAAATCTCTTCAATGAAACTTATGGACATTAGCTTTTGAGGCCTACGCCAAGATTCTTATTTTGGGTTTCATTGGCCCCTTGGAATTTCTAGGATGTAGAAAATCTACACTTCGGAAACAGGTCAACAACGTTAGGATGCATATTTTGATTTGATTCTGGGATACATCTTTTATTTTCTGAAGTTGGGTCTGTTTCACTTAGAGGTTAGGTGGGCTTACACTTTACCTGTATGAACATTCTGTCTGATGTAGCATCTTGAGCAGGGACATTGTTTGTATCGTGGTAATCACTCGTGCAGTGATTCAACTATCGTGTACGGTGTCGCTGCCATTGGAGTATTCCTGATGGTTGACTTTGTGCAGGGGAGATTAACTGCACTCTATGATGACCATCATTCGCCCAGTATAGTTAATCTCCACCATCCATCACTGGGAATGGATAATGGATGCCCATGTGGTGCATCTGTCATACCACTACTCTGGTGTTGCATATATATATATTACTCTCTAATAGTTGCATTTCAAGATTTGTGTTTCCTTATTATGCCAATGTGCATTGTGTGTGCAAATCTGCTAATAGCAGTTATCACTTTCCTACTGCAAACTTCTGTCTCTTAGTTCTCTCGTCTGAGAGGATATCTAGTGTAGAAGTAGAGTGTTCTATCATAGTCAATGGACTAAAAGGAAAGTAGTTTGCTGCATGTCATTTCCAAGAATATTCTAGTTGTTTATATTTGCCAAACCCTCTCTGTGACAACATCTATGGTGTTTGGATCGAGTCTGAGTTTCTATACTGGTTTTCCTTAAGGTCGTGGTCCACTTTTATTCATTATAATGTGGCTTGCAACTTATTTGGCTTCCAGATGGTTGTATTTTGCGGCAGATTGCCTATTTACTTACTGAGATAATTATTAGATATCACAATTTTAATTAGTTCTTTCTATCACACTTCTTGTAAAAGGAATTTAGTTTGTTATATGGACCTGTGCACGTTGTTTTTCACTTTTATCAAGGGCAGACGAGTCATTTATTTCTTTGTCACTTCCTGTTGACCTCGCCCATATGTTAATTGCTTAGTGCCATTTCCTCATTTCATATTTTTGAGATTGGTTCTAGATTTGTCTTTTTCACATGTGCACCACAGTTAAACATAAAATTTAAGCAAGGAGAGCTTGATATAAATGTTATGCTTGGTGTTTATGATCCTTACTATTATACTCGGTTTTTACGATCCTTCGTATTGTTACTAACATTGTCACCTTCATTTTGAAGGTGGTTTATATTCTTTAATTTTCTTGACTGGAAAGTTTATCTATGCATCTTCAAAAGCGTCTTTTGCATTATAATTAGTTTACTTATAAATGCGACCTTAATTTATCACATTGTTGATTGTTTACTCAAAATGTCTCTTTTCTAAGATTCTGTCGCCATGCAAAGATAGAATGGGTGAATCTGCATTGCTGAAAAAGTCTGCCTCATCTCAGCCTGTTCAATTAGCCTGGAATGTGACTTGTTGGGGAGCAACTTTACTCATATTTGGTTGTGTTTCATTTTTGGGCTTTATTTATACAGCTATCTTGTCCAAGTTACATCCACTCTCTGGAAAGCAATTTATATCTGCCATCCAAACTGACAGGTATTGGGATACATCCATTGATTAAACTACCTATTATTTACTATTACACTGAGGCACCTATTGATCTTTCTTCTGCAAGTTCAAGATCATTTCTTTTTTATTCTGATTGAGTATGCAAGCATGAGATGTTGTGGATGGTGGTGAAGTTTTCGTCCTTAATTTCTTTTTTGAGAGAAAACTTAAATTTGGTGTCAGTTGATTGACAAATTCTGATTATGGAACTTTAACCCAGATCTTGTTTGAACGTCCTAAGTCGAGTTTACCTTAATAATGATTAAACTACTGAATGTATTTTGGAATAGGAATTAATAGAGGATGTGCATGTTTCCCCACATATATTATTAGCCTTAACAGCTGTTGTTTATGCTTTTAGTAGTAAAATCATTGATCTGGTTATTTTAGTAATCACAAGTATCAAGTCACTTCTATTTGCAGGTCTTAGTGGCTGTGGTTTTTTAGCAGGTGTGGCCTAATTGGATTCTCATGTTGAATATCTTATCAGTCAATGAGAACTGCCAACTGAAATTTCTTAAACCCTTTGAAATTTCTAGGATGTTACGGATCTACAGGAAAAGAAAGACTTAACTGGATTCCTTTTTTATTCTGCTCAGTTTTGAGACCTCCATTGATCTTGCACAGACCCTTTGCTTCATACTCTGACTCTTCTATAAAACAGATAATTAGAATTGTATGTGAACCTTTTGACACCCCAATGAATCTAAAACAACAGCCCATTCATAAGATCAAACTCCTACCTGGCAATATGGTTTATTTATAAATGTTATAAATGAACTCAGTTACAGGCCAGAAATTGATCACTTTAGGCTGCATTTAATGCATTAAAAGACCAGAGCTTTCAAGATCCTCTAGCAGTTAATAGGGTAGTCTTTTTCCACCTAGTGTTGTAGGGCATATATTCAAAGTATTGCTTTTAAGCATCATTTTGCATTGGATTTGGAAAGAACCAACTGACCCTTTTTTTTGTATTGCATGGCGCCCATTGCATCAGCATTTCAGTGGGCGGCTTTCCCAAACCCACTTAGCTCCCTAAGTTCCCTTCAGCTTATAATGATATCTTCAATTTTGGTAGTGTAAATGCAAGCAGAGCTGCTGGCTTAAAGCCTTCAGAGGCCAGCATAATATTGCTTGTTGACTTCAGGCACTGCTGTGCTTCACCTTTATACATCTGATTATTTGTTGCTTCTAATGTTGTGGGCTTATTAACATTTTGAATGTTCCTGTTAATCGTACCTAAATGCCTGAACTAAGTCATTTCTACCAGATTGTACTGCAAAGTGCTATGCAGAGCCTGTCATTCTCTAACAATCTGTTCTAGAACTGAAAATAAGGGCCTCACTTTATCGGAAAAAGTGAAGAAAAACTAAGCTTCTTGGCTTCGAGAGTAACCAGCAACTACCGTGCATGTTAGACTTCTTTCAAACAAGTACCATACTCATTTACTCACTAGAATCAGTTTCTCTGGTGATGCTTATTTACACGGCACATTTTAACCCTCAACAGTGGCTAGTTTTATTGGATATGCAACAAATTCCTGGAGAGATTTGGCCTCATACTATAATGTGGCCAATATTCTCTGCATGAGTGGCCACTGGATCGATAAAATTTGGATCCTGTTCCCAAATGTTATGGGTTCCTAGTTATATCTTGGTCGTCTTAAGTGTTGTACTTCATGGTATATAAGGGAATTATGTTAGGGAGATTCATGGCAACAAATCCTGCTCTCATTCTCCATTAATTGAAGACTTAACATGGCAGATGAGCACACACAAAGAACCATGGTTTTGTTCTTGTTAATCCCCTCATTAGATTATATTTGTCTGTCCTTCCAAATTATCTCCTCGTTCTCTATTCATACAAAATTTCCCCAATATTATCTGACTTGAGGGCTACTGATATCCTCATGTCATTTATGTTTTGCCAACTTAAGTTGTGTGATTTTGGTCGAAGTAAAAACTCTTGACATTTACTTATCGCAGCCTACCAGAATTTGTTGGAGATACTTTTGAAGTTTGATGAAGTCATCTGGATCTTGCCTTAGGCATCATTTCTTTTGAAAATCCTAGGGTTTCTTGTCCCTGCACTGCAGTCTCAATTTGTGAATGTTTTTTTCTTTGGGTGTTTGCTATGCCAACCTTAGGGCAATCAAACAGTTGATGTATTAATGAGTCGAATGCAATCATTCCACACAGATGGAAGAGCCTGTATGTGAATGCTATGATGGTCAGCAGTGTATTGGTCATTAATGGTTGATGATCTTAAGGCGTGATATCATGCATGTAATTATATGTTAGTCAATTTGCAGTTACCCCTCGGGAGGCATGTCTTAGAACTGTTCATTTTATTGTAATGTACATTCAATTTGCATTACTTGAGGGCATCCTTTTCTCCTACAGTACTGTTCAGTACACAGCTTATAGAAAGATGGATCGGTCTGCTAGTCTAGATAAATGATTTTCTACTTCTGGTTGATGTAATTTTCTTTTTTTTTTGTGAAAAAAAAGAAGTAACAGAATTAGGGGTGCCAACGGTCTGGTCGGGGCCTCGGCTTTTGGGCCAGGCCAGGTTCCGGTGTTTCAGGCCACTTTGTTTTCAGGCCCGGCCTGGTGAAACAAGCCCGCAATCGTTCTAAGGGCCTGAAGATAGCCCTCTTGAGAGAGAGAGAGAGAGATGGGTGGTTTTTTGGGGGAGGAGAGGGCTAGAGAGATGGGTGGTTTTGGGGGACGAGAGAGATGGACGGTTTTTAGGGAGGAGAGAGAGATGGGCAGTTTTTTGGGAGAGGACAGAGATGGGTGGTTTTTGGGGAGGAGAGAGATGGAGTTTTTTGGGAGAACAGGGCAGTTTTTTTGGGGGGGAGAGAGAGACCTGTTATTGAGCAATGTTGTATTGTCAAAATCAAAGGGTGTTGGGGCTCTGCTAGGGTTTCGTGAGATGGTGGGATCAGTGTGCTGCCATGGCTGCGTGGGCTGGTAATGCTATGGTTTCTGATGATTCCAGCCATGGCGGCCCACTTCCCATGAAAGGCAAGCCCCCAGAGTGGTCTGCCAGTGCAACTTGGCGGTGATGATCGTTCTCGAAAATAGGGCAGCGTGGTATATGGTTTTGGCGATGGATCTACTGCGAATACTACTGGATCTGATAAGGGTTCATCCCTAAAGGTGGACAGTGGCTTTGGCGATGGATCTGGCACAAAACCGACTGGATCCGACGAGGGTGATCTTGTTCATTGTGGTAAGCAGAATCTCAACTCTGAGATGGATCCAAATACTAAGCTGGTAGTTGAGGGATCTGTGCCTCATGTTGAGCATGGATCTGGGTATCGTGTGATAATGGATCTAGCTATGGTGTTCAGGGAGGTTATTCCACAGTCTCTTCTGGTGTTCATGATCAGGTTATTTTTTCTCATGATACGTCGCAGCTCCTTGTGAGATCTGGGAAGGGTGATTGATCATGGCAAGAGGATGCTCTCAGCTGTTAAAGGTGATCATGACAAGGGAGCTTCTGGTTTTTCATATGATCGCAGTTCTAATGGTGGTTTGATTGCTATGGGTGAGTGTGATGGCTCTAGTCATCGTGCTCTTTCTTCTCTAGATGGGGCTGTTATTGCAAAGGAGTCGTTTATTGTTTCTGATATTCACAGTGGTTATCGAGGGGTTCGTAGGATTGCAGACAACCCTTGTAACAGATCTTGGCTTTGCCTCTCGCAATGGATTGGACATTGCCTATGACTCTAGGTCTCTTGGATCTGGGCAAGGTGTTCATGTTAAAGGAACCCCTGATGGTTCATATATGGTTCCCTACGAGAATGCCAATGGTGTTTCTGTGGCGGCAGACAATGACGCTAGACACAGATCTGCAGATATACAAGGTACTGGCCCTTGCACTAAGGAGCATCAAGGGGTGGCAACAGATCTGATGATTCTAGGGTGTTGGGTATCTTTGGAATCTGGACCAAGTGTTTGTACTATGCAGAGTGAACATGTGATCTCTGCTGGTCATCTTGGTGCTGTGGATTACACACACAAGTCTGTTATTGCGGGTGAGCATGTTGATCTTGGTTTAGATCATCATGTTGTCGATGGTTCACATAAGTCTACCAGTAATTGTGCAGATAAAGTTATTATGGATCGTGAGGGTGCTGGTTTTCATGGGTTTGATATTGAAAACACCCGTGGTGAGGCTAGGGGTGTTGCTCTACTTTGGCATTCTGCTCCGAGCAAATATGGTGCTGGATTATTTGTTAATGGTGCTTCTTTTGGCAACAATTATGTCCTTGGATCTACTTCTTTTGCTGCTGATATTGGAGGAGATGGAAGGAGAAATTTCAAGGAATTTTCCCCCTTGTTACCTGGTTCGAAATCAGAAAAGGTGAAGGTTGCGACCCCTACAAACTGTTGGAATTTGGGTAAGTCTATGGACCTACTGTTTGGTGCTAAAGGCATCCAAAATGGAGTTTGTTATTTTGATGAACTGGAGATTAGCCCCACTGAAACTAGAAATGGGAGATATAATGTAAAAATTGGAAAGGAATTGGTAGATTCATGCTTGAAGAGGTGGGACAACTGTCTTCTTGGATATTTCTTGGGGTGTAGGCCTGAAGGGACGTATATGAAGAGTATGTCGCAAAGGATGTGGACGCTGAAGAATGATCTTGAAATCTTCTCACTTGACGATGGCTTTCTTATTTTCAAATTTCACTCAAAAGAGGAAATGGAAATAGCATGCATGGGTGGTCGATGGTTTGTTAATAAAAAGTGCTTGATTCTGTAGGAATGGGACCGCTCGGTTCAACCTTTTAGAACCACACGTCAAACAGTGCCAATATTGATTAAACTGCACAATCTCCCTCTGGTTTTCTGGGAGCTTGGGATTCTATTTCGGATTGCATCTAGTGTGGGCAAGCCCATCTTTATGGATAAACCAACAAAGTTGAGATCTCGGGCTGAACCTCGTGCTTGCGTTGCAATGGACTTGGACAACCCATGTCTTAATGAGGTGTGGTTTGACATTGATGGCAAGGAGCGCTGCTAACAAATTATGTTTGAGTTTATTCCAGCTACATGCCTGTACGTTCTTTGCCCAAAAGGACGCATTGAAGCCGAAGGGTGTAGTAACTAACAATTACAATGGTTCTGTGGTCATGTTACCTTCGGGAGAAGAGGGTTGGAAAGTCATGAAGGGATGGAGACAGTTCCCATATAAGAAGAAGAGATGGACTCTACTTCTTCCAATGGGTTTCAAGCTTTGGCTGAAGATAAAGAGGATGATGTGAATATTGATTGAGAACTATTGGATGTTCTGGATAATGGTGTTGATCAATCAAGAACAGTTGGATGTTCTGGATGATGGTGTTGATTGTCCGAATGGCTGCACAACCTAGTGTTGAAGGTGGTGTTGGCACACATACTCATGGTGATGATATGGTACAAGTAGGCCATTTTATTTGGGCATGGTGGGGACTGATTCCATGATAAGCACAGATTTTGTTGACCCTCCAAATCAGCAACAGGATTCTAAGGAAGTTTCATTAGAGGATGGTGTTGACAATCAGTTGAATACCATAGTGGAGGTAGAGAGAGAGGTTGGTGTTGACTGATGACGGAAGTTTGGAGGGGATTTCTGGTTCCTTGCATGATCCTACATGTATGGAGACTCATGTGACTGCTCAGTTTCCTCAAGAGGATATGCAATAGAAGGAATTGGTTGAGGACGTGAACTCATCTCAAACAGTCACGCTGAGCATTGGTAGTGTTCATGGTTTAGACACACCGAGAACAGATAATCAGCAGAAGAAGGATGTTAAAAATGCAATGTTCTCTGTCGTGTCGAAGCCAAGCATCTCTTTGGATGGTGGGGATGGCAAGGCTGACGGTTCTAGTAAGCAGTTGCAGGATCACACTCTCGGTGATGGGCAAAGAAAAGTTAGAACTCGTTCACAAACAACAGCCTCTTTAGCAGCTCATGGGTAAGAAGGCGTCTCATAAGGCCCAGCATATATTTTACATTGTCTTCCCTTGCCAAATTTTCGAATTCTTAATCATTTTATTTGTCAGTTGTAGCTTGGAATGTATGCGGCCTTCAAGGTCAGGGTAGGGTATCTGATATTGGTGTTCTCAAGAATCAACAAAATATATTTCTTCTTTTTTTATTAGAGACAAAATTGCCTGTACATTTGAACAATGTTTGGTCACGAAAATTGGGGTTTTACAATAATTTTGTTACCAATGATGTTGATGGTGGATCCCAAATCTTACTCCTTTGGAATCCTCTGATCTATTCAATTAGAGTGATTAATTTTTAATGATCAAATGATAACTATTGAAGCCACTCGATTATGCAATGGTAAAATCAGTGATTTTTTGAGCATATGCATTTAACCCCGTATCTTAGAGGGCTTTACTTTGGGACCATATGCGAAGTATAGGGGCTGCCACTACAATACCTTGCTTTGGTACTAGGGGACTTTTAACACTTTATTGGATAGTTCGGAGAGGATGGGGGGTAGTTGCTCTTTACCCCGGAATTTAGGTGATTTTGCACAAGTTATGTCCAACTGCGCACTAAGTGACCTTGGTGTAGTTAGGGGTGGTTTTCTTGGTCTATCAACCAGTTGATTGGAAGTGTATAAGAAGGAGATTGGATTGCGCAATGATAACCACAGATTGGATTTTAGCATATCCAGAATCTAAGGTCGAGCTTCTCCCAAAGAGGAACTCTGATCATTGCCCCTTGCTTGTCTCAATTTCAAATTTGAGTCCGGTTGGGCCAAAACCCTTTCAGTATTTCTCAACTTAGCAGAAAACCCCTGATTTTATGGATATAATTTCAGAATCTCGCTAGGTAGAGTGGGGGTACACCCATGTTCTATTTTGTTACAAAATTGAAAAGATTGAGGGACCTGTGTGCATGGAATAAAGAAATGTTTGGTCATGTGGGTGAATCTATTGTAGCGGTCCAGCAACAATTGTCTCTTTTACATGATAGTCTATGCAGTGATCCTTCAAATGAGTTGTTGATGAGAAAAGAGGAGTGTACTCAGAGGCTACAGCTACTATTGAGTCATGAAGAGAGTATATGGAGGCAAAAGTCTAGGCAAAATTAGCTAAAGGAAGGGGATTCAAATTCTAAGTTTTTTCATTTATCCATTGTGATAAGGAGTGATGGCATTATTTTTTGAAGGATCAGAATGGGGATTTCTCTTGCTACTAAAGCCGACATTGACAATCATATGATTGGCTTTTTTGAAGATCTTCTAGCCGACGAGAGTGATATTGACCTTCATTTGGTTGATCAGTTTCTGCCCCCATCTTTGCTTAGCCCTCATCGTAAGGAAAAATTGATTGCAGAGGTCACTATGGAGGAGTTCAAGGAATGCATTTGGGGCATGAAGTGTGAGAGTGCTCTGGGTCTTGATGGCTTCTCAGTGGAATTTTATAAATCTGGGTGGGAGCTAATTAAAAAGGATCTTTTTATGGCCCTCAAAGATTTCTTCAGCATAGGTAAACTTCTCCGCTAAATCGATTCTACTTTTATTTGTGTAATTCCAAAGGTGGAGGCCCCTAGCATGATGAAAGATTTTCGCCCTATTGGTTTATGTAATGTCCTGAACAAAATTATCAGTAAACGCATCTCTAATCATCTACGAGTGGTTCTTGATGATATTATTGATCCTAAACAGGCTGCTATTTTTTAAGGCAGACTTATCATAGATAACATTCTTATGGCAAATGAGTTGATCTCTCTTTGTCACAAGACTTCAACTAGGGCAAAAATGTGTCTGCAGATTGATTTGAGCAGTGCGTATGATAGGGTAATCTTGGGCCTTTATTTTGTCCACGCTCCATGCATTGGGTTCTCCAAAGATCTTTATTTCCTGAATTCGTCTTTGTATTTCCACTCCCGTTTTTTCTGTATTAAGGAATGATTCTCGAAAGGGTTATTTTAAAGGGATCCTTTATTTCCATATTTGTTCTTGTTGGTCATGGATTTTTTCAGTAGACAGATGGACTATGCTATGGTGCAAGAAAGAATACCTAGGGCCTTTCCTTCTAGATATGATTATGGGGTTTCACATTTGTTCTATGCTGATGATGTTGTTATCGTTTGTGAAGCATCTAATTCTTCTGATATTGTTATGCAAGAGGTTCTTAACAACTTTGAAGTTACTTCGTGTCTGAAGTTAAATTCTTCAAAAAGCAAAGTTCTTTTCTTTGGTGTAGCACATGTTGGCCGGTCCAAGATATTGAGGGAGCTGAAGTTCGGAGAAAGTTCCTTATCAATGCGATACTTGGGGTTGCCTTTATTCCATGGGCATCTAAAGCATAGTTATTGTCACAATCTAATTGGCAAAGTTATTGGGAAGATTGGTACATGATAAGCCCTATGCCTACCCTATGCAAGTCATCTATAGTTGTTGGATTCAGTACTCTGTGCTTCATCTATTTTCTAGATCTTATCATTTATTCTTCTGAAACGAACATGCAATTGATTGAAAGGCTGCAGAGGAATTTTGTATGGGCAAGTGTGGCGGGAAAAAAAGGTGTTCATCTTATTAAATGGAGGATAGTTTGCCTTACTCAGGAAGAGGGGGGTGTGGGGGGGGGGGGCGGGCGGGCTGGGGGTACGTGACATTGTGGACTTTAATTTTGTAGGATTGATGAAGTTAGCCTGGAGGATCTTGGCAAACCCCTCCTTTCTATTAGCTCTGTTCTTCAAGCATAGATATTTCAGAAATACTTCAATATGGGAGGCCAAAAGGAAACGATGTTGTTCTTATGCCTGGAAGAGTATCTTATTTGGGTTAGCACATCTGTAGGATAATGTTCAGTGGCTTATTGGGGAAGGACAGATGGTGGATTTTTTAATAGATCCATAATTATCAGGGCAGTCGATATCGGATTCCTATGGTGTCGGTGTACATGTGGATTTGGGGGATTTCGTTGGGATGAAGGTTTCGGATTAGATAGATGGCTTCCCTCAATCTTGGGCCTTGCCTCCACCGACATCAGATTCTTTGAGAAGTATATGGAGGGAGGTCGAGAGTTATACTCTTCCCTTATAGCCTAAAAAGGATTAATTAGTGTAGATTCATTTTGTTAGCAGCTTGTTCTCAATTAAGAAGCTTGGGATTTTATTTGATATAAAGGATCATCGTAGCCTATATTTCGAGCCCTTTGGTCTTCTAAATGTCACCTAAGGGGCAAACGGTTTTTTTGTTGGCCCTTCTCAATTGCTTACCAACTATATCTATATTTTAGCAGTGTGGCATTGCTTTGGCCTCTTTATGTCCTTTTTGTAGGAACAATATTGACAGTCTTTATCATTAATTGTTCCAGTGTATTTTTTTACATAGTGTACGGAGGTCAGTAGCATGGCGGTGTGGTAAGCCTTCAGGTTTAAATTAGCATGGCGGTGTGGTAAGCCTTCAGGTTTAAATCACATGGTGTATGGAGGTCAGTAACATGGTGTATGGTTAGCCTTCAGGTTTAAATCAGATGGTCTTATCAATATATGAACTTTTATTTTCTTTACAACTATTCGGTTTCTATTGGAGGAACGAAATAGATGAATTTTTCAATCAAGGTCTACAAAGACGGAACAACTTGTTAAGTGAATCTCTGCGCATATTAAGGAGTTTGCGGGTGCTAAAAAGTGGGATTTTCATTAAGCAAAAAAGGCAATTATTGACAATTTTCAAATCACTTCATGTCAACAGAAACTAAAATCCCTTACCCCGGTAGCGTGGTCATTTCTTGTGGCCCAAAATTTAAAATTGAATATCGATGGAGCTTCCTTGCATAATTCTGGATTAGCAGGTGGTGATGGTGTGATCAGAGATAGTAATGGTGGTTTTCTTGCTGCGTTTGCTAAGCCTTTTGGCATTTCTTCTAACAATTACGATGACTTTTTTACCCCAAAAGAAGGTCTTCACCTAGTTATCCAGAGGAGATGTTTCCCTCTCCAAGTTTAAAGTGATTCGTCTCTGCTGGTGAATGTTATCCAGAATCACTATCGTGTCCCATGTAGGTTACAGACAGTTGCAGACAATTGTCGGAGCAGACCTTATACTCATACGTGGTCCATCGCCCACATTTATCGTGAGGCGAACATGGTAGCTGATGCCTTTGTTAAGAAATCACCTTTTAGTTCTGGTGCTACTATTTGGCACTGTTGTCCGTCGGACTTTATTTCCATGCTTGTACTTCATGATTTGGCTCAACTGCTCTATTATAGGGTTGTAAAGTAATGAGGTGTCTACTTTCTTATTTTATATTAATGAAAAACGGGTAGGAGGCCTTCTCCCCTACTGACTTACCTAAGAGAGAGAGAGAGAGAGAGAGGCAACTTTTGGGGGGAGGAGGGGCATGTGATGGTTGGGTGGCCACGTGCCTCCATCGCTCTCCCCAATATCTTTTTAGGTTTTCAAAAATATTTTTAGAGAGAGGGAGAGAGAAAAAGATGGGCATGTGGTAGTCAACCATGTGCCTCTTTCACTTCACCAGTGCCCTTTTTAGATTTTCAAAAACAAAAAAATTTATTTGTTAGATTTTATTAGGATTTAAAAAAAATACTTTAATAT